AATCTTCTCTATAGCCATTTCCTCAATTCATACCAATGCATTACAACTCATACTGAGGCACCAGAATTACTCATAGGACCACACTTCACAGACCTAATGACTTTAAGTAGGTTTGACTGTGTATTTAAATTTAAGATAAGATAATGACAGATAAACCAGCCTCAAAACAGGCTACAGCTGAACTCCAGGACCCTCGTACAAAGTTGGTACTGAAACTATCACAGAGATACATACACAATTCTCAGCAGCTACGCAGAGAGTAAGTTTCATGGAAGACACAACAACTGACTTTGGAAAAGCAGTGTCTACCTAATGTTCCAGCAATATAAAAGCCCCCCACATTCTACATAAGTGGTGAGCCACTGCCAGAGTCGGTTTTCTCTCCTCTCCATGGAGTCTTAACCTTGGCTACACAAACTGTGAGGCTGTTAGTGTAAGGCCTGCTGTTCTAGGCTTCCTCACCATTTTACAGAAGAAGCAGTACACACCAATAGTTGTGCTACACAAGATTTTGTGGTCTTTCAATACACCTTGAGCCATGTATCACATCATCTTCTCAGCTAAAGTTCATACTGTATCTGTACAGTAAGCATTTCACTCAGTTGTTGCTATAGCCGTACGTTATGAAACTTCCTAAGCATGCAATGTATCAGCTTTTGGCACGGATCTCTTGAGTAGGTGTGCTGTGCAAAGCATTTGTCAGGACTAGTGTGCACTAACTAGCATTCTGTGGGCCTCAGGATCTACAGTTTCTATTGCTCTGAGTACCATAAGGCCAAGTTTCCCCTGGGCAGAAGAGCCAAAGGATGTTCTGCATTCACATATACATAGACAGAAGGAGAAGAGATCTATGACTAAAATGCAGGATGAGTCCAGCACCAATGAATTTTTAAATCTCACACTTGCATCAATTTACGCAAAAGTCTTCCATATAGGCGTGCTCCAAAATGCAGACTTACAGAGAACAAAAGCCTCTGGGCAAAAACATTTCTGATACCTTCCAGGAAAACAGAAGGAGCCAGGAAACAGACACTTGGTATAAAATATTTTCCTGAAGTATGTCTGTAGAAAAGCTTCTGAGATTGTGTCGATTTTATGAAGCATCTCCTCTAGATAACATGACATAGTTGAGATACTTTGAAATTACTAAAGGCTTTATTCCGAGGGGTTTTGCTGCCTTAGGACACAGTGACACCATGTGGCCAACTGCTTAGCCCAGAAACTACACGTTAATGGAAAGGGCAGTGTAGACTTTCCTTACTTTTCTTTCTTAATTAAATTTAGATTTAGGGATGCTCAGATGCAATCGTATATTGACTGGTTAAGAGTAAACTCAGATAGAACAACCTTCAGCTGAACAAATACACAAAACAAAGCCATTCTGGATTTCAGCATGTATTCAAAAGTTTGCAAAAATATTGTCAGAAAATGCACCAGTAAGTTCAGAAGGTAAATGTCTATTACCACAGTTTGCACAAATGCCAAAATTTCACATTCATTTGATAGATACAAACTAATGATAGAACTATAATTCTGTCTTCCATAAAAATGCACCTGGAAGGTGTGCCCACCCTATGGTTTAATTTTGCAGCACCATAAAAAAAATGAAATTAATTTGAAAAGGGACAGATTCCTGCCTTGCTCCCATGGTTTGTTTGTGTTCCAAGTAATTACAAGTACCTCATTTAATTTTACAGAGAGACCTCAGGAGAACATTTAAATTCACAAGCAGGAACACTGCTGCTAGAAATGTTCTCAGTGGAAGTTATCATTCTGCATTATATAATATAGTGATTGATGTGATGAATCATCCCTCCCTAGTACAGATCATATTTTCCAGATCAAGTACTGCACATTCAAAAGGTACAACTCACGAAGAACAGTAAGAATGGGCAGATATCTTCTTTGAAAGAGAGAGACAAAGGCAGACAGTAAGACAGATGAAAATTCAATACCATATATATATATACATATATACATATATATATATACCATAGTATATATACAATAAACAGAGGAATACATAAGATCAACTCTTCACTCATTGGTGCCAAAAATATATAACGTTCACTAAAAGGTATGTATTTGGGGCAGGGTTCAGAATGCACTGCCCTCAAGAGCAGGAAGAAAGAAAAAGCCTAAGAAACGTAACTTTTGGTTGCAGAGCCAGCCAAGTTATGCTGTAAGTTACTTGCAGCCAAAGTTATTTTCCATAAATGCTGTTTTTTGTATTCATTAGATAGACAACATGTTGATGTTACTGAACTTTCTGTTCAGTACTGAATGCCAGGTGGACAGTTTACTTCAACACTATCAAAGTGCAGCTGAATTTAAATTCAATCTGTTGGTTTAAAAAGTTACATAACAAGATTTCCACCTACACAGATGATAATTTAGACCCTGAGAAGAAACAGCTAGGCACTGGACTTCCAGATTCTTCAAAAAAGGAGGCTGAGCAGGGGAATTAATGACCTGAGCCCTCAAATTCTGTGACCCTGACTAGTGAGATTATGCTGCCATCTTGTGACTTATGTGTTTTACTTCTCCACAGTGACACCAATATGACCCCTACACCAGGAGGACAGTATATCTCCCTGGTAGGAAAGTATAACACGTTCTGAGCAACTGAGCTCTTCTTTGTATATGGACCTCTATCTCCCTTCCTTAGCTCTCTTACCTATGACAACCTGGCCACATGCTTCAGTGACACTTCCACTGCTAATGGCTGTGCTGTCCATGGACAAGACCAGGCAGAGACCAGAAGAAGACCTGCAGAGGTGATGATACCCACAGTTTAAAGGAGGAAGGTTTTGTAGTAAAGGCTACAGAACGTCCCCCTGCTGTCAAGAGAATCATCCACATGGAAAGTAAAACACACACTTAGCCAGCATGTAGATATGACTGTATGTGGTGAAAAAAGACATATTCTTTGCATCTGGGAAGGAGAATTATTATAATTGATTATACAGTTTTGCACATTGATGATGAATTTTTCCTCTCTAGATTCCCAAGTGTATATTTACAGTGGAATTTTTCATGTTTAAAAGAAGTGTATTATGATTGGCTATATTCTCAATCTAAAGGAGATTGTTCCATCTGGCCAAATGAAATACCACAGTTGTATGTCACAGTGGTATGATGTTCCCTTGAAACAAAAGACTTCAGTTGCAGTGACTGCCCTTCAGAGTACCTGGAAAAAGCGTAGCACAGCCACAATCATACCGAAAAACAAGCTGGGAAACTCTGCTAACACTCTTCTGATCCTTATTTGCAGCTCAACTGTCTGTGCTTTCAACAACGTTCACTCCCAAGATACTTCAGAAGTGACAGACCTAGAATAAAACCTTGAAAGGAAATGCAAGGAAAAAATTCCAGATGCAAGCAGGTTTGAAAAGCCTGAGATATGTAGGTGGTAGTCCTGAGCTAGGATACACGTCCAAGAAAGGCCGCAGAAGGAAGCACAGCAGAAAGGCCCCTCAACAAACAACTGGAGACAAATCACCAGTCTTTCTTTATCACTACCAAAGCCTCAAACACAATTTTACATCCAAATTACTGAAATATTTTCCTTCTAATCCTTGTATGCTAAAGTAAACAAGCGAAGCATTCTGCATGTAGACTTCATCTACAGTTTATAAGATGCTATATTTTCTTTAGGGCTTGACATAACAGAATGAGGGTTCCCACCTACCATCTGTACTTTATATTTGTCTGCTCCTGTTTTTGAGGAGGCCAATTGTATTGCATTGACTGTATGAATGGAACCTCTAAACCTGTGACAGTGGGGACTGTATACTTCCTTAAAACTAAGGAACATAAAACTAAAACTAAGTTACTAAAACATTCAGGCAAATACACAGCCAGCTGAATCATCTCTGTGAGACAATCGTAATAACAATTATTACTGCTGTAGTGGTGCAAAGCTTTAGGCAAATTTACAACCAATATATTTACAGTCAATACATTCACAAAGCTTAGTCAAGAAACAAAATGAAGTGTAAAGTCATGTGGTTAGTCCCTCTCAGTGAGTCAGTGATGACATAGACCTTAATCATCATTTGTTCCTTCAGAACATAAGGACGGTGTCACAGATTTATTTCTTTCCAACATTCCTGACAACGCAATTTGTCAGGGGAGACATTTGCTATGGTCATGTCACTTACACTCTGCTGCAAGTTAGCAAAGACCCATCTGACATGAAACATCACAGTGCAAAAGAGATGCTGCAGCTGCACAGTGCATGGGCCTGAGATCCAGGAGAACAATTGTTTCTGCAACTGAAAATGCCTTCTACTCTGGAGAGCCACTTCCTGATCCCCCTCTTAAAAGCCTAAAGTGAGTTCCAGCTCTTATGGCTAACTGCTAAATCTGCTTTGTAAAAACACAAAATGCTATTTAAATAAGGAATAGAAGAATTAAATCATCTCACATCAAATCTTATCTTTAACATGATGCATTCATCTGATAGAATGGAGTTCATTATTTTCCCTTTCTTTCCAGTCAGCACTAACTGATACTAATTAAGCATGAAGCATCAATGAGACATCATTTCCAGAGTGCTGGAGCTGTAGATAGATCCTGATGACTATATAGGGAAGAAAAAGTCCTGTCATCAACACATACATGAAACTGGTATATTTATAAACATAAATTTGCTTCTATTGGTCTTTGCATGCCCCTGTATCTTTCATTACTCTTTCTTTTACTGCTATCTTCTTCCATAGCTGAGAAAGTATTTGATCTTTCTGCTGGGTTCAGATGAACTACGTTCTTGCACAAAAGGTCAGCTGAAGGCCATGTACCAGTGAAACTCCAGAGTAGATTTTAACAGCCAGAACAGAGTTTCAACAGTAAATAGTTGCTGCACATAATCACTACGCAGAGAAATGGGTTTTGCACCAAAACATAAGCTCCCACTGCTCTGCTACTGATTACATACCTATCTGGTAAAGCATGATTTTAGACTGTGGAAAGAAGAAAAAAAAAATCTCTGTACTCACTCAGCATTTATTTCCACAAGATTCTGATCACTCTGACATCAATCTACCATCTGTGTAAAATCCCATTAATTTTGACTGGAAGGCTTCCAGGATGTGAAATCTTGTATCACAATAGTCTCATGGTCCAAAATCCTGAAGACGGTGTTCAGGACAGCACCTGGTGAGCTGAAAAAAGAACCTGATACAACAGACTGATACTGCCTCTCTTCCTCAGAAGGGGAAAGAAAACTTTTTTACAAGAGCAGGAGACATTCAGCTGTCAGAAAACCTGAATCCAGACTAATGTTCAAGATTTGCTGATGTTTTTCACAGGATGGCAGTAAACCAAGGATACACTGGACATTCATAGCTGGCAAGGACACAGTCTCTCTCTCAATCAAGCAAACTTCATCCACATATGTAAACAGACACTTGCTAGTGATAAAAGGTAAGAAAGCAGTTCTATTTCCCTGCAGAAATTATTGCCATGGCAGCATTTGTACCTCTCTGTTTTGAAAGGTCACCTCCAGTCACACATTTTATTTGGGGACAAAATCCACCTCTGCAACAACAGTTTGCACTGTGCCTGCCATTTCTCCCTTGCTTCACAAAGAGGGTTTAAGAGACACCACAAGATCAGGGTGAACCCTTCAGCCTTGGAGCAAATAACATCTTTATATCTCCCTCACATGTAGTCTTCCATCTATAAGAGTAATATAGAAAGTTTAAAATGTCTACCACCACTCCTCTTCCTTCTCTGGTACAATCCACTCCCAGAATAGATTCAGATTGCAGCAGCAATCCAGACAGCCAATGGACTCACAAAGACTTCAGTCCATTCCAGTATTAACTGAAATATGTTGTATTGCCCTTCCTTTCAAACCTACTTCATCACAATAATCTGTAATACTGATATTTTCAAGATACAGAACTCCCTTTTATTACCTTTATCCACAATGAGAGCTCAAAAGTTGGCATTTTTATAATGAAAGAAATAAGGGAAGAAAGAAACACAGGTTCAGAAAACCTAACAGAGTGAAATAAGCTAAAATGGAAGAGAATAGAACAAAAGAGGAACAAGGAGAGAAAAGAGAAACAAGGGAGAAATAAACATCAAACCCCGGAGACAGCAGCAGAGCAGTGGTTTGATCTGTGGCTCCTCCCTGAAGCGAACAAGGTAGTAGTACACCCTGTGCCTGCTGGTCTGCAGAAGTCAGAGCTGTCTGAGGGTGCTGCAGAACTGCCAAGCAAGCAAATCATGCTGATCAAAACAACTCTTTCTTCAGTGAAGCATTTATTTTTAATAATAAATGGCTTTTGAGAAACCAGAGATTTTTCTTTCTTTTTTGTTCTTTTTTTTTTTTCTCTCTCTTTTTCAACTGAAAAGTCTATTTGGAGACACTTGACCTGACACTATCACTTTTAGAGACACGAAAACAATGAAAACATATTAGAAAGGGAAGCTTTCAGTTTTCATACTTCTTTAATGAAAACCTAAAATACAGAAAGAAAAATCTTACAGAGAAGAAAGCATTCCTGACTATCCCTACATAGAACTTTGCACAGCAAGAAGGGCAGAGACATTCTTCTGCTTTCCAGGATAATTGCATTTCTGCCCATAGCATCCTAAGACGCCTTCCATCTAGGACCTCCTTGTCTCTGCATGCTAAGTGCATGCATTGAACAGAGAAATCATCCCCTCCTTTTTACACGTAGTAGGAGAGGGGCTCTTGTCTTCCAAGAATGCCACATCATAAGGAGAACTTTATTCTACAGAGTAACAGGAAAGCAGTTGAGACATGCACAGGCATTACTCAATTCAGGGCTCTGTGTACAGTGATTTGGCCTGAACAGATGGCTAGGAGGTTATAAAAGAAATGTGTTTTACTATATGAGTGCGAAACGAAATGACTCTTTTGCCAAAGTTGGCTAAGAGTCAGAACAGCCGCAGAGAATACACAGAATTTATGAGACTAACCTCTGGATTCCTTCCTGAGCCCAGGAAATTGCATTCCTTTGAGATCTGGACTGACATTCATTAACAATGAAAAATTATACTCTTTTGCAAGGAGCAGGACAAGAAGATGGAAGCACTGAAAAGTCAAACCGTCTTACATGAGAAAGGAATGAAAAGGGTAAGAAGTCAGTCCTCAAAATTTCTACTCTACTCTCACTCCAGAGAAAGGGAAAAATTGCACTTGCAAAGGATAGAGAGCAAATGTTCTCAGAAATTCAAGATAAGAATTTTTCTTAAATTTGTAAATTGGCAAGTAGAGAGGTATTACCTGCTTCAGCTCATTACTGTCCTGTGTATGGTGTTATCTATATGGCTAGTCAGGCAGACAAAAATGATGAAGAAAAAATGCCCAGAAAACAAATAAAACAGAAAATTAAGGAAAGAAAGGAGGCAGCTCTGGCCCAAGTACAATTAAACTCTCTCTGCTTAGGAACTCCTAGGTGCTCTTCACGATCAAGGCTTTCTTTCAGGTGTCAAAAGGTGAAAAGCCCACTTATGTTGGCTTTTTTGAAGCAGTTCTTTTACTGATGTACAGTGATTCTTCAGGCTATGCAAAATATACTTCAAAGCCAGAGAAAATTGAACAAAAGAAAAAAAGATAATGCATGTCTCCAGTCCTCCTCATCCCTCTTCTGGGCATGGGCACAATATTCCAGATGCAGTCAGGGAAACACAGGGCACAAGTACCCTAAACAACAGTCAAGTATCCTAAGGAAACTCAATTAGTAAAAGACTAACTTCACATTGTATGACGTGTCAGGCATTGGCCGATAAAATAAAGCTTTCAATACCAAAATTTCAAAACTTGCTGCTCTAATGTAGAATAAAATTCAAGACTTTTACAGGTAAAATAAACAACTTGCTGATCAGAAAAGTGGGAGAGTGTGACCAGGCAGAGCAGAGGTATGCATCTTAGCCTCCTTACCTTTCCTTTCAAAACTCTACTAATTTCTCTCATATTGGAATCTGTTTCTTCCCACAAAAAAATTTCAGTTTCAGTATTTACTTTCTTTTTCTAACAGAGGAATCATTCCTGCATGCCTGGAACTGTCATTTACTGACTGGTTAAATTTATCCTTTGGTTTCCACAGAAGACAACATCTAAGACATGTTGACATTTCAGAAAACAGTAGGAGATACCACATCATCTCCTGAGGTATTCATGCATTTGCTGCAGGAAGTCATAGGTTCCTGTACCCTTCTTCTGATTGTGAATATAAGGCATGAATAGTGTGTACCATTTTAAAGGATAAACAAGCACATGTTTAACCTGTTTTGAACTGGGATACCTCAGACAAATGCAGAGAAACTGAATATGCCATCCTGCAAGCAGGATTTTCAAATTGATCCTCATCTTACAGGGATATTGTCCTCTTGAATTGTAATTCAACCTACAGAAAATAGGAAGGTTAGGAGGCTGGCTGTAAGTCATGGAAGGCTTCAGATAACTTTACAGGATTTTACCTGCCTCATACTATGCACAGGAAGGTACATATCTTCATAAAGTTGTAGCTACGTACAGTTTGATAACCACAAAGATTTCTTTTTATTATATCTGCACCAATTGTCATGCAGTTGAGAGAAGAATCCCCCTATGTAATCCCCCTACATAAACTGCCACTTGCAAACTTATCCTGAAAGGTGAAAAAACATGCTTATCAGTACATAAGGACCTTACAAACATACCTTTCACTGGAAAGCAACATGATCGTGTTCCACTTTCCATCAGACAGTGCACATTCTGCTAGAACAACCATGAAGACAAAGCAATGTGTTTTCTCTGCAGCCCTTGGCAGCAGTCCAGAGCTGCATGCTGGGGATTTGAGGGAAGATAACAATCAACTCTGTCAAGAAAGACATAGAAAATATTTAATTTTCAAAACAAAAAAAAAAAAAGAAAAAGAAGAAAAAAAACCACAGTAAACATGCAAGCAAAAATGGATTTCTCTTCATCAGCTCAAAAGACCATTTAGTCCAGCATCCTTGTTCTGTCAATGGTCAAAAGAGATGTTCACAGAAAAGTCCAAGAACAGGACAAGTCCATAGTGGTAATTCTCCAAAATACTCTTAGTTTCACATAATTTGCAGTTCTGAGACGCTGAATGGGAGAGACAGAGTCTTCACGTTTAGTCAATCTTGATGGATAACTTACATAAATTTGTCCACTGCAGTAATCAGTACCTTGTATACTGGTGTGATGGTAAGTCATGTGGAGTGGGTTTGTTTCTGCAGCATCTATCAGAGAGGAGGTCTACTCTCAAAAGAGTCCTTACAAAAAGAAAATGCTTGAGGATCAATAGAAAACATAGTTGATACAGTAGAAGTGAAGGAGAAATATATTTTATTTACTTTAGGATTTATACCTAGAACTAGCAATATTCTGTCAGTAGCACAAAGGAGCATAGTAGATTGGTATTCATCTCACACCATTTCTGGCAAGAACCAACGACTGGTCAGCAGGCCAAATGCACCGAGTCCAGCTCATACCGTCATTCCCAAATTCTGCAGTGTCATGCACTGACCTCTATGTCACTGCCAAGTGCTTGAATTCTTAATCTTAGCATCCAGAATTCATAAACAGTGTATGTATTCAAAGTAACCTCAAACCAACCTGCAAAGTAGATTCTCAGAGCATCAGAGATAGCAGATTGAATGATCAGCCCTTCCATCTTAAAGACAAAATGTATCACTTGTATACACCACTATGTATAAATTGCATTGCTACCAATGTACTTCTCTGATGTCATGCAAAGAGGTAATCTGATTTTCCTGGAGCTGCAATTTCTAGCAACAGAAATTGAAAATCAAACAGTCTGGGTATGAACAAGAATGCTCTACAGATAGCTATTTTCTGCTAGTGCGACACTAATGACTTCTCCAGCATTTTGTTCTTGCCCAGACCTAGCAGTTTGTCTTTTGAGCCAACACTTGGTCCTGTACCCAGCCTCAGCACTTCTGAGACCTACCAGCTCCCTTACACAGTGACACGCTCAAACTAGCTGATTACTGCAGCAGAACTCAGAATCAGCCACACTAGTTATAACTAAAAGCACTGCTATAGTTACCTTGGATTAATACAAGGCCACAGAAACTCTAAAAGGCATGGTTTCACTCTCCAGTGCAAGGTACTCTTACCAGAGCTAGCCTGGAGCACATGTCCACAATTTCAACTGAATTTACTTTAATATAGACTTAATTCACAGTCAAAATGCAAGATGTTAGATGTTCAGTGGTTTGAGTCACAGATATAAGCCTACATTAATAGAATACAACTCATTAATTATTTTCCCCAGGGGGTATCTAGAGTCAAGGCACATCTTTATCTTTCACAAACAATTTTTTTTTACTCTGAAAAACACTGAGTTTTAGCTTTCCTGTATTTTGGCCTGGACAATGATAAATTACAGTGACGTTTTGCAGGAAATGCTGCAAAGGGTGTTAGTTCATTGGAAACATTAATATTCCTTCTAGCAAAGCTTCACTCAAAATATCACTTTCTCTGCGCTACATTTGGCTCAGATTCCTTTTCCAAATTACATACATAGAGCACTAAAAAGTGCAGAAGGGGGATTTTTTTTTTCTGAAATGGTTGCATTACAAAATTCTTAGCAAAATATTACTACAGTCGAAGTTTTGAATGGTTTTTGTCATTAAAAAGTTGTTTTATCCTAGAGCTTGAAAACAAATGATAATTACAGAGGACTGAGTAAGCTTTGAACTTAAAAAAGAAAAAAAAGTGATCTTCCCTGATCATCCTTAGACTTCCAGATACACACACGAAACTGAAAGGGCAGATGGGGAAAGGCCACTTCTCATCACACCTCACAACGCATATTCTCATCTTTCATTTCATTCCTTCCACCCTTTGGCTGAGAAACAGCCCTGCTTTCAGAAGCCATGCAGAGATGCTCCTTGGTAAGAAACTACTACGGTTACAGGAGCACATTTACACAGAAGTCTCCTTGTTCAGAGCAGCTCCTAGTAAAATTCCACCAAAATCTCCACTGTTCAGTACTTTTGCAGAGGCCTCAATGTACAGGTACTTTCTCAAAGATGTTTTACCTCTCCTGTAATTGTGGTTCACTCTCCTCTAATAGAGACAATGGGATTCCTTTCACCCTGAAGTTTCCTCTGAGTTATACCTTACATACATCAAAAATGCTTCAGGATCAGCTTTAGCTTACATACAAATAATTGTACCTGGTACTTTTAGGTATCTGCTGAAGAGTTTCAAGGGTTTTCTTTCTTTGTCAACTACACAGAGCCTAAGAACATACCCAGCAAAGTATGGGGAAAGAACCCATGAAAGAAAGGTCGGTCTCATAAGCTTTTTCAAGGAGCCTTGAAAAATGCAGGGTTCGTTGCCTCATGCCATGCTCAAATTATTTCAACCTGGTGCTCCTGACCAGAAGTCCCTGGAGCTTTTTCTGAAGGGCTATTAAGAGTCAGATGGAGCTATGCAAAGAAAAACTGCATTGTGACACAGAAAGCCCACAATGAAAAAGTAAGGCTATATCCAAAGGTCTCACAGTGTGCCAACAGCCTGTGGCCTGCTTCACTGACAGCTACTTTAAAATAATAAGCTATATGCATGTCACATAGCCCAGATCACGTTCACCCAGATTACATCAGATTCAGAGGTGCTGGGCAGTAAGGCTACAGTAGAGAATAAAGAGATTCAAATCACAGATGGGATTTTTTTCACAGCATTTACATTCTCTTTGGGTTAGTTGCCTTTCCATGCCGAGAGACCACAAGTTCAACCAGAGCAAAGAAGGAAAACCTGAAAGATGCAGTGACAATTCAGCAGTCTGTATTGTTGCCCAATTACAAATGAGCTATGGAAATGATATTGCCCAAAAAGAGCATTGCAAGATGTATCATTCCCTTTTAACAAACTTATTTGTAGCTGTTTATGTGTGAGACTGCTTCTCAGTTTCTTAGGAAGCTCTTCTCATTCTCTTAATAGACACGTAGTGCACAGCGCTAAACAAAAGCAGGACTGATGCAAGCATCAAGCTGAGATCTTTTTGTTCAAGTGAATCTTCTGATGTGCTATTTCATCTGAAGCACTCTTCAGTTACAAGCAAATTACAAGAAAAGATTTCTGCTCTTTTACTGATCTTCTGATCTCCATTTTATTGGTTTTATCAGTTGTGCTTAGCGTGGACTCTCTTTTGCAGGTAAAGATCAATAACCTGTAATTAAATACCTTTCCCATCATCCTTGAATAACATTGCCCATACTCTGCAAGCCTGGAGAAGATGCACAAAGCTTCTGCCATTGGTAGAATCTTCATCTCCAACTCAGAAAAATGTCATCTTAGCCCCACTTGTCTAAACTACCTCTTCAGCAGAAGAAATGCTAAGAATTCAAACCATTGTGCAAAACACTGCAGAATATGCTCAAGAACAAACATAAGCATTTCATTGAAAATAAGCCACTTCCAATTACTTGATATTAGTCTCCCTTTGGTTTCCAGTTTCTATTTCCCAAAGATAACTTTAAAACCTGAGTTTCTGCAAAGGCCAGCTGATTTTAAAAGAACACCCTGCACAACAGAACCGGCTGACATATTTTCTTGTTTGAACATGGCACCGATTCAGCTAAATCGCCCTTTTCAGTCTTTTTACTGCTTAATCAGTCTTTTCAGTCATTCTTGCCAGACACCACCCATGTGGTAAATACAGAGCTTTCAATTGGCTGGCAAAGCTTTAATTTCAGAGTGACAAAACAAAGAGGTCCTGTGTGCTACCATCATCAATGGAATCACGTCACAGCTTTCTCCTACCTCGTTTCAACACTGTTCTTCTTGAATGTGACTGCTGAATGTGGCAACTTAACAGACTGTATGAAAGCACCACTGACAACGTTGTACACGTACTGATTAAAAGTATTTTTCCTTCAGTAGTAGTTTCCTATAGTGAAATGTATCTTTTCAGCAGCTCACAATATTGTGATTCAAAATGTACATCTATAAACTGCCCACTGAAGACTGAGAAAGTATGTCTTCATCTCAGAAGGGATTAAAACAGATGTGAGTTACACCACAGAACACACTGTACTGCATAAGCCTCACTGTATTCAGTAAAAACAAAAGAACAAAACCATTCATCTCCCAGAAAACCGCATAACACAGCACGCTGAGCCTGAGACAAATCTGGATGAATAACCCAGATTTTTTTTTACTTTAATAAAACAGAAAAATAACGGAGAAAAGAATGTCCAATTGTCCAATCTGAACTGCTTAAATGCATTTGTGTTCCCTTGTTGCCACATGTTGTTCTTCTGCCAGGTCCTACCCATTCACCAGCTACCATTTGTGCAGAATGCAGATGCACAGAGCACAAACTGAAATGAAGATGTAATAACAGAAATTCTTATAGATCACCTGTATGGGTGACCAGGAGAGAGATCTCTGCTGAGAAATATCCAGCCACCTCCTGAGGAAGGGGCAAGAAATTGGAAGTACGTGAGGGAGCACACTCTGCATCAGATATATTGCATTAGAGTCCACAGCCCCTTAAGGTCCAAGCATTGCTCCCTGAGGTGAGAAAACTGAGGCTACAATCCTGCCTTCAGCAGGATCTGGGCTCCTTGGGGGCAGGAATTCCTCTCAGCAGGAATTTGTGCTCTCTCCAAGGTGAGGTTTTGCTGCCTCAAAGACAGACACCCATCTCCTACTTCCTTCTGTGGTCAGAATGGGATTACAGGGATAAACTGAGCTTCAACATTCAAAAGCAGGTACTTAACACACCTACATCACTCCCATTTTGAGCAGAGTGCAAAGTACTCCACAAATTTTCCCCCTCCTCCTAGTAGTAAGAGGTTAAGAACTGCATAGGAACTCTTCAGCCAAGCAAAGAGACAGCTTGTGACTACACTGGGATCACTGCCTGTGTATTTACAGGCATTAAGACAGGCAAAGCCTTCGTTCAGGTAATTTCAAGTAAACTGTGCGTACACACAGACACATTTTATTTATTGAGTAGAGCAGTGCAAACTTCAGTCTGACATGTATACTATACTGACATGCATATCTGGAATCAGCAGGAGATACTACCATTGTAACCTCAATAAGATTTATTTCTTCTGGTTTTTGAAGTATCAGAAACAAATGTTACTTCTGCACTTCACTCAGCTGGGATCCAAAATGTAGCACCATTTTCCTATAAAAATGTGAGCACATAATATACCAAGAGGAAAGGTAAGTGCATGTACTGATGCATTATTCCAAAAAGCCACTGTTTGTATCTGGGTTAATTAAAGGTGTAGCACAATTCAATGGAGGTCTCTCCTTTGAGAGTATTTTCTGCTGCAAGGGGAGAGGAACAGAGACTGAAGGCAAAGCCAGCTCAGTACAAATGCAACCTGCATGTCACCATGCTGGGTCTTCTCCAGCACACAGGCAGATCAGATGGTGTCAGTCTACACTGCACCTGGGGGCAAGATAGTACTCAAAAATGGGAAATTATTCAGGAAGATTTTGGCCATAATACAGTAAGAAATGAAATACTAATCCTGCCGCCACTGCTGACAGCAACACCTCTACTACAGGTGGCTCTTAGGAATGTCTGATTTCATCAGGTGTTTCCAGAAAAAGGCCTGTATCCTGTGCCAGGCATCTTCTTGTGCTCTGGCATGCTCCCTCCACTGCCCTCCCCACTGCACAAACACCCCAAGCACTTTGTGGATTGAAGACTGGCACAGAGGCAGATATGGTGGCTCCAAAAGGTGCCCTGCTCCAGAATAGGAGCAAAACTCCGCCTTCTGTCCACACTGATTAAGGCGCTGAACAGCATCCCGGCAGTAAAGGTCACTTTTCCAGTTCTTGTCATCCAGCCCTGACAGGAAAAGGAACTTGGCCAAGGACTTCTCCACGGGAATGCGACTATCCCAAGTCGCTGGGTCTCTGTGATCATCTAGGATATCTGAAAAATCTACAAGACCAGACTCCTCACTGGTCTTCATTCTCCCCAAGTCATATGGGTGGGCAGGAATAGTGAAGCCATCTCCCCTTAGGGGAATGAAAGAATTTAAGCCACTTCCAGATATGCTGACAGCTGCCTTGATGCCAGGTAGAAACGTGGCCATGGAAAGGGCTAGATCAGCTCCTTTAGACAAGCCCAAAACGCCAATCCCAGCATCTTTCACCTGAAAGACAGTTATGAAACAGCCATTATCAACTACTCATATCCTGGGCTGGCATAACATCTCTCCTTTTGCTTCTTTACTCTTCATTAAAATCTCCTATTTTTTTTTACCCATTCCTTTTCTCCGTTTGGGTACTATCAACCCCTTACTGATTCCCTCATAAGAGCAACTATGAATTCTACAGCTCCTCAACATCTCCTCCCCTCTAACACATTTTCTTCTTGGTTAACTCCATAGACAAAACCTCTTTGCTTCTTCAGCGTCCTGGCTTGATACTTCCCCTCAGTGCTGTAATTTTACTGCTCTTGCCTCCAGAAACTCATCTTAATCTTCTCTCTTCAGGCCCCATGTGAAAAAACACTCTTCCATAGGTTTACTTGCTTTGATTGTCTTTCTTGACATTGTTTTTCAAAACTCTGCTACAGTTGACCTATTAACTTCTGTTACATCTTGGAGCACATAAAGTTCATTATGCTTGAGGCTGAATAAATTCAACAACTGTTTAAATGAACTTAATTATAGTGAAGGCTCTTCAGAACAGATTCACTTGTAATGTGCCCTTATCCTGTAAGACACTCTGGAAGTTTCACAGCTCTATGAGAAACAACACAAACTGCAAGGTTGAATTTTGCTCTCAAAACTGACTAAATCCCTGGTATTCATGTGCCAGCAAACAATAATTTTGTTAACACCACATTAAGTAGCATTCCATTCAAAGATTAAATTATACTTCTTATAGTCTCTTTTACTTTAAGTATAATGATATATCGCTATAGGAGTATTTTTTTCATTCCAGGTACTTACTCAAATATAATCCCAGCATTTAAAAACAAGGCATTCTCTCCCATTCCGCAGCTTCAAGAGATTCTGTTGTTAGTGTTCTGTTCCTGCCCTATGAAACTTTGTCAGAATCAAAAATCTATATCTCAGAAATAGTGGAATAAGTCAATGGATTTTTTCTCTTCTAAAATCTTGTAAAAAAATAAGATCATCTGCCTAAGCAGCACTAGTCCAGCAACTGTTTTGATGTAAATCTTATACAAATACTGGTTCGCATAATAACATTCCACAGGTGGCCATAAGGTGCTCTGCAAAGCAATTATCCAACTACCTGCAAAACTGGAGCTGAGGCACGTTCTTTTCCATTTAAGATTATCCTGCCTTTCAGACATGCTGTCTCCCTCTTCACCTCGGAAACTCAGCTACATTCAGTGATGTACAGCATTTCACACTAAGCAATTAGAAAATAGTTTACAGTAGGAAGAGTACCATAATTTGTCTCCTACCTGCTGCTGCTTATGCAAAAAGTCTATAGCCTCCTGAAAATAATCCAGTTCAAGAATCTGTGGCATAGCAGGCAGATCTTCAAAGGCCATGTAAGCCAGAGCTAGAGTCACAAAGCCTCTGCTAGCCAGAAGACTTGCTCTGTATTCAACAAGTCCTCCTCCAGATCCATACAGATCAATAAGACCAGGGAATGGTCCAGGCCCTGCAATGAAAGCAATATATATTTATATATATATATATATACAGACTCACAGAGAAAAGTTTCTAGAGTTGTCCCTCCAGTAGCAACCACTCAAAATCCAGCAGGTATCAAAAGGAAATCATCCTCTGAATCTTTACATGTCAATTCTCAGGCACACACACAATCAGTGTCACTGACAAGTACTATTTCCTTAAGGATATATCACTGCAAGTCTCCTCTATGGATTATCTCAAACATTTCTATAAGCAGCACAGAGTATGGAATCTGACTTCCAGATTCTCTCTCCACTGATCAGTTCTCTGTTATTTATGAAGCTGAATTCACCCTAGTGCCTAGTTCCCTAGCTGAGGGAACCATTAACAGGGGCCTTACTCCGGCTTGCTGAGTGTATCCAGGGGCCACAGGGAACGCACAGAAAAACAGAATGGGATTAAAACTCACCAGGAGGGAGGAAGAGAGTTGCTTTAAGCCGACCTTCTCTGACTGAAATCCTCTTCACTCCCTCTCCTAAAAAGCACCGCTCATGGGTGCATTTTCCCAGCAACCGGCTCATGTCCCCATGGCCCTCATATACTTCCAAGTCTACACAGAAAGGGGTCAGGACGTTCCTCTTTGCCAGCCGCTTATATGGTGTTTTGGACTGCAGAGACCACAGCAATCCCATGGGCTCCACTCCAGAATAGCTGCCCCCCAGTGCTGGGCAGTGGGTCAGATCAAGCTCCCCAGTGCCATCAGCCCTGTAGTGAGCGTGGGCTTGGAAGAGCTCCCCACCCTCATCCAGAAGGCAGGCTCTGAGCGTGACCCTCTGCTGCGGCACGAGTCCCGTCACACGGATCTGAACGGGGTCGTCGAACAGACACCTGAGAGAAGGCAGAACGGTCACCTGCACCGCCATCGGGCTCCGTGGGAGGGGAGAGGAGCCTGCTGCTTTTGGTAAGACTCGGGCTGTGTGAAATGCGAATGCCGGGAGCCTGCGGCTTTCCAGGCTTAAAGTCTCTGCCAAAGTCCAGAAGGAAGCAGAGCGACAGCTTCCTCCCGTCAGCAAGCAAGGGCTGCTGGGAGATGCAGTTCAGAGTATGCTCGGCTCCAAACACATTGTCTCAGATGTCCTGTAAAAACTGACCTGCAGGGACACAAGTTGTCACTTCCTCCTGGCATGCATTTTAGTTCAGGACATATAAAGATTAAACTAGTAACTCTGAATCTCAAATGGCAAAAAAAGACAATCGCATTGTCTTGTGCCAGCTGCCTTTGTAGATTTTTTTCTTCACAGCAGTCAATCTTCTCTAAAGGGTATCTGTATTTTCCTGACTAACACATGTGAAATACATTTCCTACGTTTTTAATGAATCTTTGAAGATTGGCTGGCTGATAAATACCAACCTCCACCAATCCTAAACAACATTATTACATTTTTGCAATATCCGTCTATTTAATAGCCTTGCATTCCTGCCCTGCAAGTCTCAGACATGTAGTGAGAAGACTCATCTTGTTCAGTGGAAATACAGAGCAGAATTAAGGCTATAGGAACAAGTTCCTGGCTAACACAACTTGACTGACTGCGTGTTAGGCTGGTGATAAAAGTACTTCCCAGTCATCTCCCCACAAACTGCTAAACCATGTCCAATCACAAGCCCACAGGTGATATCCAGACTTACTGCAGGCATGGCAAAAGGAACTCTAAAACCACCGAGGGTGTAAGAGAATGAAACTACATTTAAATATGAAAGTAAAACAAAATCAAAACAGGTAATGAAAACACGGATTAACAGGGACAGCTGCCACCACTGTCATTTCCATATCCTTCTAGATGATCGTATGCATCACACTGTTTGAAAGATGTCAGAATTAGCACCAATGTAAGCTTTTAAACTGACCTTTTATTGCAGAAGTTGTAATTTCTCACCATCAAAACACCACAGCCACTGAACTTAATGAAACACAACCAGACATGCCTTTAGCCTTAAGCCGAACAGATGTGTTTGAACCGGTGCAGCCTGATGCATGGGGGTAGCAGAGCAGATCCTTCCTTGTCCATTTGGCTTGTTAGGAAAACAACCTGTAGATCTGAATGAATGTCATGGTTTCTGTTTAGGGATTTCGAAAACCCAGATTCCTTCCCTTCAAATTTTATTTTGCTCGCCATCACCAATGCAATGTGCAAAGATCTAAAAATTCTGATGCCAAACCTTCTTCTTACAAGCCAGAAAATCTGGCCAATTGACCCGAGATTCTGAAATCAAACAAAATAGCCATGATTTGTCCAACAGATGTTGAGTAATTCAGTGCTTAGCTTTTTTCACTTGTATCATGCTCCAATTCCAGTCACAGACGCTGATGACTGCATCACACAAGAGAGAAACTGCAAGTTCCAGTGTTCCACCTCTGTTATAACACTTTCACAGCTTTTGTAAGACAATCTAGCAGTTGATAATAGCTGTACTTTAGGTCATATTCCATGTCATACCAATAATTCACTGAGGAGGAAAAAAAAAAAAAGAAAGGCATTCCTAAAGCTGTAACGTAATGATTTGCAAGCATGTTTACAGACAGTTTTAGACAGCCCAGCTAGTAAAGGTTTCCCGTTCTTAGTGACCAAACTTTGAAATGAGCAGAACTGTGACTACAGCCAAACATAAGGTAAGCAAATATTTGAGTTCTTTAGCAGCGCTGCCAATGCAACTCTGTCTTAACCAAACTAACTCCTCTTCAGACTTTACACTGGGAATTCCTTGGAGCAACATTAGGCAAACTCTATATGAACACAACACGTCTGCTTCTATATAGATCAAAACCAGCAAACACCCTGCAAAGTTTAATATCTAGGTAGAAACTTTTCCTTTTCTGAGTGTGTAACAGACGGCAAACTCACCATTACTTTAGAACGGTCATTAATGAGACAGTGCCATAATTCTGTGTCTCATTTAAATTTGGTGTAATGTCTGCTAAAAAAAAATTAAACAATAAACCAAGCAGTATAAAACTGTACCAATGGTTCTTGGAGAAGAATATACACTAGTTTCAGACACTCACTGGACCAAATCCAGACAACATTGATTTTCCAAGCATATACAGACTGCAGTGCAGTTAACAGCTAACAGGCCAAATAAACACAGCAACCCTTTAGTATTTGTTAGACAGAAAAAAAAAGAGTGGCCAGAAGCTTTCAGCTGGAAACAACTCTACTTTTTCTAAGCAGTCTTCAAGGATTGATGCAGCAGTACTGGGGAAAACAACTGGAAATACTACTTTACAGCTAGCTTGTCTTTCTATCATGGTATCACTGATGCTAAAAAAAAAATGGCTTCCAATATTTGCACTGTAGCACAAATACTAATCTTGTTATTCACAACACTTTATTTACTTTGCCTGGGCAGGCAGAATTACTCTAAGCAAAGGATAGTAAAAAAGCTTCTGCAAACCTGGCAAAATTTATAGGACATAATGATAATGCTTCATACTAGCTCCCACCCATTCCCACTCCTCCACACGCAATACTTGAAATTCTTAAACATTCTTGGGAAAGGAGGGAAAAAGAAAAAAACAGAAAGATGAAGATACATCCTACAAAGAAAGAGAAGGCAAGACTTTCGATAAGCACAGGGGAACAGTAAAACAAGCATGAGCTCATTAGCAAGACACAGACAGAGTACAGACAGAGTCAGAGCGGATTCCAGTTCACATAACCATGGAGCAGCTTTCATGTTGTGTCTACATCCATGCCCAAAACTCATACACCTTCTGATTTCCTTTTCTTGCTCCAAAGCATTTTTTATTGATGTGCTGATGTCATTTACTACATGCAGGTTCCTTCTGTGTATGTAAATTTGCACTGAGCAGACTGGGCAACTGCTCTATATCATAAACAAAAACTGAATTAGCTTTCATAACAAAGACTGTTTTTTCTGCCACATCCCTAACAGTTGTTGACAATCCTAAAGACTATAACCTAAGTGGACTTCAAGAAGTTCTCAAGGCAGAGAACAGAATCAGCTCCTTTTGAGATTATTTCTTCCTGAAAGGAGGCAGATGATTTTGTAGAGACCTTTGGTATCGGTTACATTTTGCTATGCTGTATCTACCTGCACACCCAGCACAGTTCAAAAATGTATCTGGAAATGCCATTTATTTTACCTGCTATACAGCCATGCGATTGCTGAACATGGTGGAACCAGAGAGAAGGGAGGTATAACATCTCACCAGCTTTCACTGTACACTGCAAAGGTTTTGCCTGAGCATACTCTGGATATTGTTCCAGATTCGGGTTCAATGGGTCCAGGGGGATCCAGGGCACCTAAAAGCAAGAGTATGTATATGGCAATAACCACAGCAAGCATTTCCAGCAAGATTCCAAAGAAACAACTGACAGCTAAACTTTCTAGTTATGCAACAGATATTTTGCCTAGAAAAACATGACGCATTGCTTGCTTTCCACATTCAACTGGGAATAGGTCAAGGATGTAAAAATCTGCCTCTTTCAGTGAAGTATTTCTCATTATGGAAAAGCTGCTAAATGTCAAACATCAAATTTAAACCTTGTGGCATAACTTTCAAAATGCCTTAGAAATTTTAGGAATTCTTTCTCTTCTTAAAGCTTCTCATCTACATTGATTCCTGACGGCCAAACATCCTCCTTCCGGCTTGCACATCCCTGCTGCCTGCACTAACTTCTTCTATGCCCAACGGTTACAAACCTAAGCACCTCACCTCACTGAATTACAAGAAAGCTTCTGTGAGTTTCTAGGAGCACGACTCCGGAAACAGAGAGAACATCCCAGCTCGAGTTCAGCTGTAGCATTAGCACATAGCACAAGCAAAAACAGAGAGGATACTATTTGTAAACTGCCTCCAGGTCCATATATTCTAATCAAACACATATTGCTACAAACTAAGAAACCACAATCTATTAATTGCGATATATATGTATTATTGCACTGGGTGATAGTGCTTTAAAGTAAAACCAACTTCTTTATTGTTGATCCACTAAAAAGTCATTTACTGGAACTATTTCAGTTTGGTATAAGGCAGACAACATGTGACATCAATGGTTTCAGGTGTGCATGTGTATTTTTGGAGGAGTCTGTATATGTATTTTTCCCCCTGGAAACCAGATATCCTTTGCAAATAATAAAATACAAATGCAAATCTGGTTACTCTTTTAAACAATGAAGAATTTCTAAATACCTATCAAAAACCTCAGTTAGCTCAGCAGTGTCCAAACCTTTACTTTAAAGCTTTACTTTACAAACTGAAACTGACTGTGTTCTTTGTATCATTTTTACCTTATCTGCAGTCTTCTCATCCACAATTTCAAATGAGCCATCTTCTGATACTTTGTAAGTTGCGGCCTGATAGAGCTCTGGAATCACAGAAAGAATTAACTGGCACAACTGAGAGTTGCACTCAGAGATACTAAAACAAAGGCACACACAATTAAGAAAAAAGACAGCATTCTATTTTCCATTTTCTTCTTAGATCAGCCTAGCAAGATAGCCACCACCAGAGCTGTTCACATCTTGTGGTTAGTCTCTCACTTCTCATTTTATCCTAAAGGAGTTCTTACCTGCTTCAGACAGTGCAAGCTGCTTTGCTTCCATTGCTTATGGCTTTTCCAACCCCTCAGGAAGCTATAAAAGGACTTCAAAAAGACAGTGACTCTTTTCCTATACCCTACCAAATGTGAGTATCACTCTCCTCAGTTAACAGTAACTTTTTTTTTACAAGGTATGAATTATATGACAACACTGTAAACAAAATAAAAGCAGTGTAATTACAATATCAGAGCCACTCTAGTACTGAGACAGAACTGTATCAATGCCATATGGCATTTTACATTCAGTTAATCTGGATATTTGACAAAGCAAGGAATGGGGGAAAAAAATCTCAATAGGCACACTGTTAAGCTGTCAGCAGACTTTTGCAACAAAACAACTCATTGTGTACTCAAGAAAACAAGTAAAGAGAGAAACAGGAGAAGCAAAGTAATGCTGCCTTGAGAGTCTCTTTTTTCATTTCCCTCGTTTTCAAGGATTGTTAGTAACTTCAATATTTCATTAAATTACAACTTGCTTTTCAGTTTCCTGGCTTTTTTCTAGAGACAAAAAAAGATCAGGCAGAATCCAAAGGTGTTAAACACCAAAGATGATGGCGTGCTAAATACTGACAAGATATAGGACACAAATATTTTGAAGCTGAAGAGACTGCCATGAGTGTCATAGAATCACAGAATCATAGAACGGCTTGGGTTGGAAGGGACCTCACGGATCTTCAAGCTCCAATCCCCCTTCTGCATGCAGGGCCTCCAATCTCCATATCTAATATGAGACCAGGCTGTCCAGGGCCCCATCCAACCTGACCTTGAACATCTCCACAGATGAGGAATCCACAGCCTCTCTGGGCAATGTCAATAAACCTATACAGGACGCAGAAACCTGACCTCAGAATAATGTTTGTCTTACAAAACCACATGCTGCATGCAATAGGAGATTTCTGTACACACTGGAAAGAACACCACTGCATAAGCAGGTTCTCTCTGCTTTCATTTTTATGTCCTTCAGTATTTAAATCTCCCCTTCCAGATTTTAGACATATATGCATAGCAAATTCAGTACCGTATGGAATGAAGGGACGGTCACTTGGTGGATGCAGTAGAAACCTTTTCTCTCCAGATATCACACAGTACAAGTTCTCATAATGATCTTTATGCACTAAGATTGAGGAGAAAAAAGATGTGGAGAGAGAGAAAAAAAATCAGTACTCTTTCCTTCTCTACATCAGAAACGATAGTAAAATGACAGTGCAAGCTTCTCATCATCAGGTTGCTTCTTCCTCTTTTATGTGGCAATTGGGAGTGGAAAT